TGGCGGCGGCGCAACGGCAGGGGCCTTAGCATTATTGGCAACCGACCTTGAGGACGACGACCTGATCTTCGAGGGTGACGACGCAGACCGAGAGACGGAGGATCTACAGGCGCCCGACGAGGAGTTCGACGGGGATGACTTCCAGGCATTTTCCAAGGAGGACGGCAACATCACCACCAAGGAGGCGCAGGAGATTGAGTTCCGTCTCGGCCGTCTCCATCGTAACCTTGGCCATCCCAGCGCCCGCGCCATGTTCAAGATCTTGAAGAACTTGGGCGCCAGCCTGCAGGTCCTGAAGATGGTCGAGAACTTCAAGCGTCACGCTCGCAACCCCTCGGTGTTGCCGAAGGCGGTCCGAACTGCAGCCGGCACCGAGATCCCGAAGGTCTTTGAGGTGATTGGAAGCGACGGTCTCGAGTGGACCGACCCTGTAGACGACGCGATCTACTTCCTGACGCTGAACCTAGACGGGGGGCCAGGGCTCACTCAGGTCACCAACCACGGCGACAAATCCCAGAGGTCAGGAAACAGGTCAGCCGCAGATGTTCTCGAGACCTGGAGATCTTGGACGAACCACTATCGAGTGCCACGTCCGGCGCGATGTGATGCTGAAGGGTGTCATCGGGCCGAACTTACCAAAAGTTGGTCAGTTCCCGCGGCATCGATATGTTCATTGCTTCTGGAGAAGCCCGTTGGCTCACGGGGACGGCGGGGCGCAGGATCCCAGCTCTTCAAGCGCACCCTCGCCAAGTTCCGGAAGCAGAGCCACGACTGCGACATCGACGAGCCATCAGCTACGTCATCAACGCCATCAACGACCTCGACCAGGTGTGGAGCCATGTCCCGTTCGCCCACGCGTTTGGAGTGGGAGGTTCTCAGTCCTCAGGAAACCCCTTCGCCATCGTCGACGACAGCCACGGCGAGACACGCGAACGGCGACAACTCTTGGCATGCCAGAGCTTCACTGAGGTGGAGTATTCGGAGCGACGCCGCCATGCTGAGCATGCGCGAAGTCGCGTTACGACCCGCTGGAAAACTGGTGAGTTCGTCTACTACTGGCGTAAGGGCCGCGGGCCCGTGAAGGCTACTTGGCACGGCCCGGCCCGCGTACTGGTGCAGGAACAGCGAAACCTGGCAGGTTCCACTCGGCCTATACTTCAGCGGTCTGGATCTCACACGGAGATGGTCTACTGCGGCGTGCTCCCGAGCAGCTGCGGCCTGCCGCCGAGGCAGAGCGCATAGTCGTGGAAGTCAACGACATGGAGAGGCGTGGGGCATCCATATCAGACCTGATGGAGGTGGCTCGCCGCGGGGCGTTCGAGGACCTCTCTAACGAGAGCCGGCCCAACATTCAGCATTTCGAGCCGCAGGTGACGGTGCCTGGCGAGCTACCCGAGACCCCCAACAACACCGAACCGATGGAAGCAGAAGCTGGCGATCCTGGATTCGACGAAGGACCTCCCGAACCTGCAGGCGAACCTACGCCACCAGAATCGACGCCACCTTCCCCTTCCAGCATTACGACCATCGAGCAGCGGGTGTCCAAGCAGCCTCGACTGACGTCCCCTACAGCGACATTGCCTACGCCACCATCGGACCCACCAGGACAACGTTGGCGCATGCACCCGAAGGACGACGAAGCCACCTACCGAATTCCTCCAGCTGATCGCCGCCCCCACCGACCAGGCCCCTATTCTGGGGGCCAGCCGCCCTCCATGGACATCGGCGATCCGACCGACGACGAGCTCTTCACGGGGATCACCTTCGACGGGACTGCGAGCGGAGCAGAATTCGAGCTCATCGATGAGGACATGACGTGCTACTTTGACATGCTGAAGTCCGAGCTTGCGGATAGCGAAGGTCGTCGCGGGCTTACTACCCAGATGCTGGACTGTTTCGTGGCGAGCCAGAAGCGGAAGGACAATATCGAGGTCCACTGGAGCAAGTTGTGCTCCTCAGAGAATGACGAGTTCCGCAAGGCTATGGCGAAGGAGGTCACCAACTGGAAGCAGCGCAAGGGCTTGCGACCTGTTCCGATCTCCGACGCGAAGGATTCTGCGGTTGTTATTCGCTGTCGGTGGGTGCTGACCCGCAAGAGCGACGGAACGGCGAAGGCTCGCCGCGTTCTCTTCGGCTACCATACCAAGGACATTGGACAGGAGCCGACGGCTTCGCCGACAGCCTCCCGCAGGGTTAGGAGCATCCTCCCCACGGTGGCGGCCGCGAATTCGCGGAGCATCTTCAAGGGCGACGTCGCCAGCGCGCTCCTTCAGGCCAACGACCTCAAGAAGGACTTCTTCGTGGAGGCGGATGAAGCTCTCTCGGTAACTTTCGGAGTCCAACCTGGCGAAGTACTACGGGTCGTGAAGCCGGGCAATGGCGCCGGAGAAGCACCAAGGAAGTGGTGGCAGACCGTGAAGTTGGATTTCGCGAAGCTTTGTTTGCCGGCATGCGACTTGGAACCTTGCCTCCGGTGCTTGCGCTGCCCCGAGACCAAAGAACTTCTGGGCCTCGTGATGTGCCACGTGGGCGACTTCATGGTCTGCGGCGACCGAAGCCACATCGCTCGGCGAAAGGCACTCAAGGGCACCAAGCAGTTCTACACCTGGGGCACCTGGGATGATATGGACGACGGGATCGACTCCATCGAGCAGCGCGGGGTCTCGAGCGTGGCGAGCGAGAGAGGGTTCTTCCAGCAATAGCAGAGCTACATCGACAAGCTGAACTAGGTGCTCCCGAAGCACCCGAAGGCTCGACACAGCGATCGATTGTCAGAAGCAGATCAGAATACTCTCCGGACCTGGTGTGACCTGTTATCTTGGCTGGGCGCGAATCCACTACCATGGGTTTCCGCGTGGGTCGCAGATGCGCAGAGCAAGATCCCTACCGGCGACTACAAGGTTCTCGTGATTGCCAATAGACATCACCAATATGGTCAAAACCAACAGGACCGACGGGGTCCAGATCTTCCGTCGCAGTTTGCCTGGGTGCGGACCTGGGCCTCCTGAGTTTCGGATCTCCACGAGGCGCGACGCTTCCCGGGCCAGCCGACCAAACGGACATTCTCAGGGCGGACATGTCACGGCGCTCAGCATTTCCGAAGGGTCCTGGACTGGGGTTCTCGCAAGCTGAAGAGGGTGGCCCGCTCAAGCTTATCGGCAGAGATCCAGGAGGCTAGCGACGCCGAGGGCGAGCAAATGATGGTACGACTGGTGCTGTACGAGGTGCTCTGCGGGAGGTTTGATCTTCACGACCGCCAAGGAGCCCTCCATCGTGCGCCGGTGTCCTCGTGACGGACTGCAAGGCGTTCTACGACGGCGCGGTGAAGTCGGAGTCGGCCGGGTTAGGCCTCGACGAGAGGCGGACGGCCATAGAGGCGCTCGCTTTGCGCCGCACCCTGGAGTAGGGCGGCGCCCTTGTGCGCTGGGTGCACAGCCATGCTCAGCTGGCCGACGGCATGACCAAGGCCAGCCTCCAGGCGTTCAACGTGCCCCACGCCTTCCGGAAGAACCAGAGGCGGAATGTTGTCCACGACGAGAGGTTCCTCTCGGCGCGGAAAAGGTCTGCGCTCGGGAAGGGGACCTTTGACGAGACGACCGACACGGACCACTCGGAGGCGAAGAAGATCCTGGAGAGCAGGAGGCACGATCGGACAGCTGCCAGTGACGCGGCGACAGCCACAGCCGCGGACAAGGGGCTCGAGCAGATCAAAGCCACCTTTTTGACGACGACAATGAATGGGCTATCCGTGCCCTTGGTTGCAGATTCTTGGGGCCTTAGCCTGGGAACTTCCTAGGAGCCTCTTGGGGGCCTCTGGGTGCCTCTATGGGACCTAATGGCCTTCGGAAGCCGGGCCCTCCCTGGGCAGTCGTGGTTCACTCGTTTGGCGCGTGAGTGCGGTCATGGAGGTGTACGGGGCCGTCTTTCTCTTGGGGGCCTCCTTGGCCGTCTTGGGGCTATATCGGAGGCCTACGAGGTCGGTTCGGAGCGTCGGCCAGCCCGAAAAGGCGAGGGCGCTAAAACTCTTGCAAACCATGTTGTAAATCAATGACTTAGGCCTTCCAGATGTCCTTGTGGAGACCTCTATGGGGCCCCGCGGACTGTCTTGGGCCATCTCGAGGCCATCTTAGGCCATCTGTCGTGTATATTGGGCCGCCTTGGAGATCGTGAGGCCATGTTGGGCGCTTTTGGGACCATCTCGGTCGTCTTGGATTCGATCTGGGCCGTTTGGGATGCTATCTCGGGCCCTCAAGAACCGTTTGCCCCCCACCTCCGGGAAAAATTTCCTGCGTGGGCGGCGGGATCGGCCGAGGGGTTCTTCTGGTAGGTTGTGAACACGATGAAAACGACCAGCTGTTCAGCACGCCGTGTACCCCTGTGACAAGCATAAGTCAGGCATGTCCCTCTACAGGAGGAAGCTTTACAAACATAGCCAAAACATAGTATGGAGGCGACTCCTTTTTAATATATATATATATATATATATATATATATATATTGCATATGGTTTAAGTAAGTTTCGAACGTTCTTCCAAACTCCGCCTGTAGAAGGACATGCCCGACCTAGGCAAGCAACAGGGGACGGCGGATCAACGACGCCTACTGCGAATCACCGCCGCCCCCTGCCTTTTGGAACCGCCCATGCGGCCAAACGTTGGGCCGAAGTCTGGCCAAGCTATTGTACGATGTGTTCCCGCAGGCGTTGTGGAATCCTGTTGGGGAACACTGTAGAGAAGAGAAAGGAGGAGGAGAGGAAGGAGAAGGAGGAGGAGAAACAATTGGAGGTTTCCTGAGGCCCTCTTTGGGCCTCAGCTTGGGAGCTTCCTGGAAACCTCACGGGCGCATCTGAGGGGCATGTTTGGGGCCTCCTGGGGCCTTTCCCGGACATGGTAGCCCCGCCAGGGCGCTTCCTCCAGAGCCACTGAGGCCCAGGGCTCAATAGTTACAGCACGAATGAACAATGACGTCGACGATGACATCGTGGATCCCCCTGCGCGAAGGTACGACTGCGAGGCGCAGCCGAGCGACTGGATGCAGACGTGGCCTGCTGGGCAGAAGTCCTGGTGTTGCCGGACTGTGGGGCAAGATGGCACAGGGGGGAGGGCGACGAGGGAGTCTTGACGGCGGCGCCCACATGGGGGCGGCGCAACGGGGGGCGGCTCATTGAGAGGGGGGGCCTCTTTGAAGGCATGGGCCTCCTCAGAAGGCCCCAGAGGCCTCGAACGATGCTGCTTAGAAAAACCGGGCGGGCTTCCAATAAGTCTCCTTGTCGTCACAGAAGCCCGCCGTCTGCTCAGCAAAGGCCGCCTCCCTCGTGAAGCACATGCGGGGCCGTCTGCGCTTCCTCGGGCCGCGTTCGGGCATCCTCAGGCCTCCGCATCCGAACCCCCATTTGAGCGACGCGAACAAACGGAGTCGTCTTTGTCCACATTGGCGCGTAAGCTGCCCGCGTAAGGTCGCGCGTAAATGCCCTCGTCTCCAATGTGGCGTGTCGCGCTGGCGGCCCGAATGAGCTGTGGCGTAAGGTCGCTGTGTCATCTCGCGTAAGACCCATGTTCGATCGTCGCTCATTACTCCGCTTTTCGTATCAGGGATCTCTTGGGACCCACCGAACGCATCTGTTCGACTCTAGTTTGAATGTGGTTCGATGTTAGTTCGATTCTATCTCAATCCATGCCCGACCCAAGCTAGACTCGAGTCGACGGACATGTGACGCAGCATTAACGCATAAGTAGAGCCAGGGGCCCTCAGGCAGGTCCCCTGAAAGAGAATTTCAATTCGAAGGGAGGGCGAAAGAGGGGGGAACGGAAGGATGGCGATGGTTGTTCCCCGGCTCTCCTGCGCTATTGGGTCCTCGGTCTGGGTTCGCAGCGCCGCGCTTCCCCTCGCGCACCCCACCTCTCCCTCCCGCTCCCTCCTCCCTCTACCCACCTTCCTTGTTAATACCTCCTCCCTGTCGCACCATCAGACGTGTCTATGGAGCGGGCGGGGCGTTTCGCCCCGGCGCCCTGCACAGTCATTTTGAAGTATTCCGCCAACGATTGCACGGATGGAGGGCGAATGGTTTGCGAACGGGGCTTTTTGGTTTTGCGCCGCGTTCATTAGTGGCAGTTACGTCCAATAGATGCACGGGTGGAGGACAGTTTCTTTTCATAATGGGTTTCCCATTTGGGTTACAGAGTGATTTGTGCAGCGGCCACATCGATTCCAGGGGGTCCGCTTCAAAATGGAATTCTTTCCATTCGATTGTACGATCAGAAGTGCCTACTAGTTTCACACATACACAGATGCAGTACTGTTGTGGATGTTCGTTGGAATCTCGTGGGAGGCCTCTCGGGGGCCTCTGGGGGGCAGTTTTAGTGCCTCTTGGGGGCCGTTTGGGGATCTCTTGGGGGGCCTCTTGGGGGCCTCTTGGGGGCCTCTTGGAGCCTCTTGGAAGCCTCTCAGGGGCCTCTTGGTGCCTCGTTGGCGCCTCTTGGGGCCTCCTGGGGGCCCCTTGGGGCGGAAGGCTTGGAATTTCGATTCGAGTTCCCTCTCTGGGGCCCCTTTGGGGCCGCCTGGAGCCCTCTTGGGCCGTCTTAGGGCGCTCTTCAGCCGTCTTCGGGCCCATCCTTCAGACACGGTAGGAAAATAAATGATTTGTGCTTTGGGGGGCCCTTCTGGGAGAACTCTTGGGGCGCCTTAGAAGCCCCTTGCGCCCTCTCGAGGTCATCTTGAACGTCTCAAGAGCGATCTCTCGGCGCCTCGGGGCCCTCCTGGACGGTCTCTGGGGCCTCCTGGGCCGTCATGGCAGCCCTCGAGAGCCCCAGGGAGGCCCCGTGGCCGGTATGGCCGATGCGCGCGGCGAGGTGCGCATAAAACGACGCGAAGATCGGGACAAAATCGGATCGGGATAACTCGAAATCTCTCAGAATCGGCGGGTTTGGAGGATGTATTGGGCGCCGCGGCCGCTCTAGAGCGTTCCGGAACGCTCTGAGAGCGCTCCGGAACGCTCTGGAGCGATTTATCCCGATCCTAGCCCTGTTTTAGCGCAGTGTGCTCGTATTCTTCCCCACTGTTTTGCTGGTCGGCGCGTGCCCTCGCACCCGCCCTCCCCCCCATGGAGTAGATCCATCGTGGCTGTTTTTTGTTGGCTGTTTCGAGCAGGTGGGGTCTCCCCCGTAGGGCACACTGTCGCAAGCAGTCGCATTAAGCAGAGGTCCAGAGCCAGACCCCCCCCTCGCCCCAGTCTTTACGGGACCCTTCTTGCAGATCGTTTTTCCAGCGTTTGCTCCAAGATTTCGAATGGACGCCGGTATCCACATGCCAGGGTGATCTGTGGGGCCAGAGGAGCCCCACAGATCACCCTGGCAGTTAACCACTCGCGGTGGGCTGCCACGCAGTCGTTCACGCTCGCCGCCCGAGCACCGATGAATCCGTGGCTGAGTCAGGAAACATGGACGCTGGAACAACATTCCAACGCCCTACGGAGCCTCTCGCGACGGTGGAGAAAGGCGCGGCGGACAATGGTCCTTAGTGTGGGCTTCCGATTCTGGGTGGCAAGCGCATGGGATCCCGGCGATGCCAGCCCCGTGGAGCCCAGCGGAGCCCCTCGGAGCCGGCAGTTTCGAACCAAGCAGTGGGTATTGTTTGTCACTCTGGATCGTGCCGCCCAGATATACCAGGCCGTGGTTACTCCAGATGTCGTAATAAAAGGGAGGGAGTCAGGACCCTCCAAGACAAGCCATCTCAGACCCCCCCCCGTGGGAGAACCCTCCAAAACATCGTCCCCAACACCACCCCAGGCCCTGCAAGATAGCCTGGAAGAGACCCCCCCCGAAACGAGACCCCCCTCCCCTTTACTACGAGATCTGGAGCACCCGCATCGGCATGGAGTCAGGTCGAGCAGAGCAGTCGCTGCACTGAGCGGAGTGCCCTCGAGCATTCCCTTCCTTCGGCGGGAGAAGCGGGACGCACTCCTCGACGCGGCCGGCCGCGCGCAGCACACCGCAGCCATGCACGGCCTTCGGGAGCTTTGCGGCATCGCGCGACGGCTGGCAGGCACCCCCTCGAAGGCCCTGGCCACGAGTACTCACGAAGGTCCCCCCGCAGGTACCGATTCCCTTGTCGTTTTGCCGGACTCGAAGGCCCTCGAAGGCCCTGGCCTGGCAGACACCCCCTCGAAGGCCCTGGCCACGAGTATTCACGAAGACGGCTCGGTGCTGGACACGTCCCGTCAGAGCCCTGAATCATCAGGGGTAACTCGGGTCAGGGCTAACTCGGGTTCCTTTTTTCGGGAATCCAAACCCGAGTTACCCCGGGCCCGAGTTACCCCGGATAACTCGGGCGCCCGACGGCCTTTAACGAACCTTTTTTCGAGCCGGCCACGTGACCCAAACAGAAGATGTCACGTGTCTGCCCGCTGGCGCCCCGCCCGGTACCCGCCCTGCTGCCGAGCTTGCCGGCTACGCAGGCAACGAAGCCTGCAACCTCATCGAAGGCCTTGTCAACATCACTCCCTCCTTGCAGACGTCCTCCTTCAATCCCACCACCAAGGATATTTACGATGTCATCCAGTCCATGGACAGCAACAGCACCGTCGGCGAGGAAGCCCCCTCTGCCTTGATCCTCAAAGCTGGTGGATGGCACGCCGCCCAGATCATCAGCAAGATCATCCAGGACATCATTTACGCCAAGCACGTGCCACTGGTATGGCGCGGAGGTAAATTGATGGTGATTTACGAGGGGAAGGGCACGGCCACGGACCCGGATACGTAACTACAGGGGCATTTTGGTATCGGACCATTTCGGGAAAATTCTCATTCCCCTCCTGCAGGCGCACCTCAACACCACGTATGCGAAGGCCGTGGGCGTGTCCCAATACGGGGCCGTGAAACATCGAGGCACGGCGGTCGCTGTTGGTCCGATCCCTTCTAGACCTTTGCTCGGCGCGCTTTTGGAGCTGTTTCGTTCTCTTCGTCGAATTGTCCGAAACCTTCGGTTATGCCATCCGCGAAGTTGTGATGGGCCGGGCGCCTGATGCAACGACCGTTCATCTCGAGGATAAGAGGGCGCTGCTTGAGAAGCCCGGCGTACCTAAGCGTGCATCCCAGCATCTCGCGGAGTGGATTGACAAACTGGCGTTTTCCTTGCGTCAAGAGGTGTTGATCCAGCCGTGTGAGAGCTCGTCGCGCCCCTTCACCATGGAGCATGGTTTCGCCTCCCCGGAAACGAGCCTTACACCGTGAATAGATCACGGGGTCGCCAGGGATGCATATATTTGGGGCGTTGGTATTCAATCTGGTCTATAGCCTCGCCTTTAGTGTTCAAGCAAGAGCTGCTTGATCTCGGCATCATCCTGTGGGTCACGACTGCGCCGTCCTCAACGTTGTGGGGCACGCAGTCTACCTCTACCAGTTGGACTGCTGACGTGCGGCCGCCTCTGGTCTTCGGGATAACGCACGTTGACGACGAGGGCATTTTCTTGGCCACCTCCGGGGCCAGAGCCATGATGCTGACCAGACCTGGGTCGATGAGTTGCCTGTGTATTGTTGTTTTCCGGTCGCTTGGTTTCCAAATAAATTTGAACCCAAAACAACGGACAGTTTCGTCACATCATTTGGACACCGACCTGCGCAGCACATGCAACAGCTTCGGGATGACAGCATGACAGTCAATCTTGCCGACCTTGCCATTGCCCTGTGCGTTGTTTCGGAGTGTAAGGACTTGGGTCTATGATATCTCGAAGCAGCAATTTGGTCCCCGATGCCATCCACAGGTCGTGTACGTCGACGGCATCCAATTGCCCGCTCTCTGCCAAGATCTTCGTTTGCAGACGCATTGCCGCGACAGGAAGGTGAGGGTTCGATGTTTCATGATCTTGGTCGTGCCCTGGCTAATTTAGAACGTGCATGTGTGGAGCCGCGTGCCAAGGAAAGCGTACGCCAAGCTGAATGTTCCGGCGCATCGCGGACGCCGCGAGATTCCGAGTGACATGCCATGGTAGCGATTCGATCGTCAGGCAGGCGCTAAACTTGCCAACCTTCGAGCGTTGTATCACCCAGCGTCGTCTTCTTCTCCTCTCCTCGTTCCTGAAGGGCGCCCATCCCCACCTCCCCTCCTTCCTTTTCAATTCCAGCTGACGCGGCTGGAACGAAGCCGCCATGTGTGCAGCCCGTGCTTCGCGATCTCGAATTTTCTATACGTTTCACAGGACGAAAGAGCAGGAGGTAGGCCCGCCGGAACACCCCGAGAGTTAGGAATCATTCGTTTTCCGTTTTCCTAGTCAGTGGAAATCCCGGGTAAAGCGACCACACCTTCTTGGGATGGAGCTTGATTCGCCCGGTGAGCAGATTCCTTTGCCTACCCCACTGGCTCGATTGACCTGCCCCACCTGCTCCTCCCAATTCTCCTCCGAACAGGCCCCAGCCTTTCATCGGAGAGCATATCGCGGTGAGCGAACGCCCTTTCAAGCGTTCCTCCCCGCCTCTGGGGTGAGCCCTGTCTGCCGATTGTAATTTTCTTCCCGGCCACGCTTGCTGGCTGATGCGACTGAGACCTTGAAGCGCGGCAGGCGCAAGACATTGGACAGTGATTTCGTCCAGGCTGGCATGGTCGCTCCGCTACCTCCGGCCAGAATCGACGCAGCCAATCGTGCCGACGGTCTCTTGAGAGGCGAGGTCCAAGAACGAGGCCTGACACAGCCGCGTTCGACCCAACCTATAAAGCAGAGGGCCGTGTCGTCGACCGCCCACGGTCTGCTATCAGCGCTGGGACCGAAAACTTATTCGTACTCTGCTAATTGTTTTAGAGATGGTGATGGTTTTCTTTACGCTCTTCGGCGCAGGCATCGGAATGAAATCAACAGGCGCGCTGGTTTACAGTGTCCAGACGCCTGAACTGAGTCTGGTATGTTTATTATTTCTTTTTCAGAGATGCGTTTCCCTCACTCCTTCTTCTTCTTCTCCATGTCCTCCTCCATAAGACGGCGCCCTCCCGCGCGCAATGCGAGATTGCTGCGCCCGCATTGCACGAGGCCGCACGCATCATCGCCAGGAGTTGTTCTCTCTTATCTGGAAGACGTCCCCCTTCCACCCAATTCGGGGGCGGCAAAGATGGGGGTGATGACTAGGGGGATCGAATAGCCCATGGCCTTTCCCGCCATCGTACCTCCGCTGCGGTTCAGAGGTCCAAGATCAGGGAGGAGGAGGAGGAGGAGGAGGAGGAGAAGGAGTAGGAGGATGAGCAACAGGAGGAGGAGGAGGAGGAGGAGGAGGAGCAAGAAGGAGAAGGAGAAGCAGGGAGGAGGAGCAGGAGGAGGAATTAGAGGAGAACTAGGAGGCAGGAGGAGGCGAAGGATGAAGGGGTGCGTTGCCTTGATCCGTGGGTGTAGTTTGGATTGCTCTTCGGAGCCTCTTCGGGGCCTTTTTGGGGCTTGTCGGGGTTTCTTTGGGGCACCCTTCGGGGAACATGTGGGGGAGAAAGAAGAGGAGGAGAGGGAGGAAAAAGAAGAAAGAGGAGGAGGAGGAAGAAGAGAAAGCCGTCTGGGTCACTCTTTGGACCTCCTGGCAGCTTCCTGCGGGCTTCTGGAGGGTATCTTGGAGGCCTCTTGGCGACTACTGCAGCTCCTCGGGGAGGAAGTCTCTAAATGGTCGTTCGGGTCCCCTCTCTTAGCCCCCCCTTTGGGCAGTCTTGGGGGCATCCTGGGCTGTCTTGGCGCCCTCCTGAGCCGCTGTGGGGCCCTCTGGGAGGCCTCTTAGGCCGTCTTGGAGAGCCATTGGAGGCTTCATGGGCCGTCTTGAAGCCGAAACGGTGAGGACGCCAACATCTGTCAAAAAGGCGATGAACAATCTATGGATGTTGCCTCTTAGAGCCCTCTTTGGACTTCTCGCGGGGTCCTGCAGCGTCTTGGAGGCGTCTGGGGCTGTCTGGGGGGGCATCGTAGCCAGTTTGGGGGCCTTATGGGACCGCCTCGGAGCGCTCTTGGACCCTCCTGGATGATTCTGACGAATCGGCCGTTTTGGACGGGGCCACAGTCCCAGAGGCCCATGCGAAACACCCCTGGCGTCCCAGTAGCGCTCAAGAGCGTCTGGGAAATTGGCGTCTCTTCGAGAGCTCTTGAGGGTTGCATGCGCCTTTGGGCAGTCCACTGCGTGCTGAAGGCACAGTGGCGGATGTCGCGTGCTTCCTGCCCGTCGTTAAGGTATGCCTTAGTTGCTTGCAACATTCACAGGGCATGGCCGTTGAATGCCATTGCCTCGCCACCCTTCCCCCTTGGATGGATGCCGTTTAACCCGTCCAGTTGACTTCAATATGCCCGGTCGACAAGAGCAGAACACACACGTGTGCATGGAGTTCGTCCAGCTCCCGTCGCGCACCTGGACTACAGACAAGCAATCCGTCGTTGAACACTCTGAGCAGTCGACACCTCACGTGCAGGAAGGAGAAACTCAATCCCGCATAACCCCGCTCGATCTTGTGCCCATTCTCGCGTGACACCTATCTCATAGGCTGCATGCCCTCGGATCTGTAGGAGGAGGAGGACGAACAATAAGAATAACACGAACAAGAAGCATAAGAAACAAAAACAGGAGTAAAAGGGCAGGAGGAGGAGCAGGAGGAGGAGGAGGAGGAGGAGGAGGAGGAGAAGGGGGGGGGAGGGAGGAGAAGGAGGAGGAGGAGGAGAAGGAGGAGGAGGAGGAGGAGGGGAGGAGAAGGGGGGGGGAGGAGGAGAAGGAGGAGAAGGAGGAGGAGAAGGAGGAGGAGGATAGTGTTTAGGCGGAGGAGGATGAGGAGGAGGAGGAGGGGAATGAGTTGGACGGGATGGGATGGGACGTGGAGAGATGAGAAGGGATGCGCGTGACGTGGAGCGAGGAGGGATGAGGAAGGGGTGCAGGAGGCGGTGGCGGAAGGGGAGAAGGAGGAGGAGGATAATGAGGAGGAGAAGGAGAAGGATGAGGAGGAGGAGGAGGAGGAGGAGGGGGAGGAGGAGGAGGAGAAGGAAGTGAAGAGGAGGAGGAGGAGCAAAAGGAGAAGGAAGCGAAGCGGAAGAGGAGGAGGACGGTGTGGGGAGGAGTGAGGAGGAGAATGATGAGTGATGAGGAGCGTGGAGGACGAGAGAGGAGGACCTGCAGATAAAAGGCGAAAGGCGAAACGAGGAGGCAGGAGGAGGAGGAGGGAGGAGGGAGGACGGAGGATGGAGCATAAGCGAGGAGGGCACAACGAGGTGGGAGGGGGGAGGAGGGAGGACGGAGGATGGAGCATAAGCGAGGAGGGTACAACGAGGTGGGAGGGGCGAGGAGGGAGGTCGCCGTCGCTCGTCGACGCGCCCCGCCGTGAGGACAACGGGCATCGCGTGCGGCGACAAGGCCACCGCGACGTGGTCCACCCACGCCCCGACCGCTCCAGGACGCCCCCCCCCCGTTCGCGCCCGTCTGTCCCTCCGCTGGCCCCAGGCCGACGACCCCCCGAGGTGTTGGGCGTATCCAGAACCTCGGCCTGGAGGACCGGTGTTCGTGGGCCTCTGCGGCTCGGCGCCGGCGGTGGACGCGGATTCCTCTGGGAGCCGCATCCACCGCCCCCTGGAGGAGTCCCAAGGCGTCGGTTCCCTGGGCGGTGGGTGTGATCACAGATCCCCGCCTCGCGCTTCCGGCGTCGAGGATCGAGGAGGGAAGAGGCTCCAGGATGGATGAGGAGGTTCGAGGATCGGGGGTTGCTGCCTCGAAGGTCGAGAGGCATGAGGCCTCTCGCGACCTCCAGAGGCATACGAAGCCTTCCAGGAGTCATGACACGTGGGTCGTCCGACGACCCTCCCGACGTCGAGGATCGAGGGTCGTGGAGGAGGTTCGAGGATGGAGGATGGGGACTCGTGGAGGTTCGAGGTTCGATGTTGCTGTGCGTTCTGATCTGGCGTCGAGGAACAGAGGTCGTGGAGGCTTCAGTCTGGTGCCACCATGCGAGAACGCTAGAAGGCTAGCAGGAGGAGGAGGTGGAGAAGGAATAGGATGAGAATCAGGAAGAGGAGGAGAGGAAGGTGGGGAGGAGGAGCAGGAGAAGGAGGAGCAGAAGAAGGAGGAGGAGGAGAAGGAGGAGAATGAGGAGGGAACGACGACGAGGAGGCGAAGGAGGAACATGAAAAGAAGGATGAGGAAGAGGAGGCGGAGGAGGGAGAGGGGGAGAAAAAAAAGAGGGGAGGAGGAGAAAGAGGAGGAGGAGAGGAAGAGGAGGAGGAGGAGGAGGAGGAGGAGGAGGAGGAGTCCGCAACCAGTATGGCTCAAGGCAGCTGGTCCAGGACTAGCCTTTGCCACGATCTCATGGTCGCTTGGCTGCCACCGCAGCCACGCTTGGACGCTTTGCTCCGCACCTTCGGTTCGCAGCCGATCTCAGCACCTCCAGTGGCAGAATGTTGGTTGCCGGCGGTGCCAATGTGGCTGCGGGAAACACGTGCAAGATGGCCCGCTGCAAAGCACCGCGGGCTGCACTGGCGCGAGGGTTTCGTTTCGAGTGCCGATGGCAGGACGCCGGGCCCCAAGGGAGAGGAGGCTTAGGGCTTCATCGGCGGCAAGCGAGGAGGCAGTGCTCAGCATTTGTGAAACAGGGGGATGGCAGGTCTCGAGCTGATGGCGGCGCCCCTCCTGGCCCCACTCCTGGGTCGGGCGCGATGTCAGGGCAGGAGGCCATGGTCCTCATCGAGCTCACGAAGCAGGCGGGGAACACTGGGCTTGTCAAGCGGCACGAGATTGCCTTGGCAGCGGTCCGCCCCAAGCCGCCAGAGCCGCCTAAGTTCAGGGCGGACCGATCATATCAGGAGGTTCAGAAGTTTGAGACGACCTTGGGCAAGCAGCTGCAGCACTTGGACGCGTTGCGGGAACATGTAGCGGTTCAACAGGCCAAGCGCGAGGTTGCGCAGGCCTCCTTGGAGGAAGTGGATGATCCCTCGAGAAGGCCATTGGAGCGTGTTGCTCGATGCTTGGGGCACAATGGGCATTATAGGCCCCCGGCCCTCCCCCACCCCCCTCATAACGTAACTCCCCTCCCCCCCCCCAGTGCGCTCCAGGCACTGCCGCCGTGCGCATCCGAATCTCCATCGGCGTCCGCATAGAAGAATTCCGCATGGGAGTCTGGTCCGCATTGGGCGTATCATGGGGATCCGCATAGGGAGGAGGAAGGAGGAGGAGGAGGACGAAGAGGAGGACGAGGAGGACGACGAGGAGGAGGACGAGGAGGACGAGGAGGACGAGGAGGAGGAGGAGGAGGAGGAGGTGGAGGTGGAGGTGGAGGTGGCGAAGGAGGGAGGAGGGAAAAATGTCGCATTCTACTATCAACGCATATGTGGCGTGGCGTTTAGCTGTCCGCAGCAGACCCTCATTGACATGCTCGTTTTATTTGTCCTGTGCACGCAAGCGTTGTGGTGTAAACTGGCGCTGCGTGCGCTCGGATGCTGTGGTGTAGACAGGCGCCGTGCTGTGCACAGGCGCCGCGGTGCACGCAAGCATTGTGGTGTACACACACACATTGTATTGCACATGGTTGGTGCAGTGTTACACTTTCTCTGTGGTGCACACTGGCGCTGTGGTGCACGCAGGCGCAGGTGTACACAGGCGCTGCGTCGCACACGGGTGTTGCGGTGTACGCAGGCATTGTGGTGTACACTCGCGTTGTGGTGCACGCGAGCACTGTGGTGTACACAGGCGCCGAGGTGATGTGCGCAAGCGCTGGGGTGCAGGCAAGCACTGTCGTGTACACATCCGTTTTGTTGCACATGGCTGCTGCGGTGTTACACATTCGTTGTGGTGTACACCGGCGTCGTGGTGCGCGCAGGCACTGTGGTGTACACAGGCGTTGCGTCGCACACGGCTGTTGCGGTGCACGCAGGCACTGTGGTGAATACGCGCGTTGTGGTGC